TAAATCAGTATACCTGCCTCTGGAAATTTCCATTACTTGCATCTGAAGAGGTGAGGTTCTTACCCACGAAAGCTTATGCTCCCAATACTTCTGTTAGTCTCAAAGGTGCCACAGGACCCTCTGTTGCTTTTTACAGATTCAGACTAACACGGCTACCCCTCTGATACTTGACATGAGGATCAGGTCGACCTAACTACATCACAGAGGGTGTGAAAATTTTCACAGCCCTGAGCGATAAAGCTAGGTCAATCTATTTTTTAGGGGTAAACCAAGCCTCAATCTGGCGTTGTTTCACCTTTCTGCTTTAAGCTAACTTGTTGTCCCTCAGATCCTGCAGCTGATCTGTACTGCCCTCCAGTAAGTTAGGGAACCCTGAGAACTGCTCTAGCTTGTTCCAGCTGTGCTGCTGTGCAGAGCCCCCAAGCAGGGCCGGCTCCAGGCACCAGCGAAGGAAGCAGGTGCCTGGGGCAGCCAATAGAAAGGGGCGGCAGTCCGTCGGTTGTTGGGGCAGCACGTCCGGGTCTGCGGTGGCAATTCAGCGGCGGGTCCTTCCTTCCTTCTGCTTCCTCTTCGGTGGCAGCTCCATCGCCCAGCTTCAGTCTTCGGCAGCAATTCGGCGGCCGCTCAACTGGGTTTTTCTTTTCTTTTTTTTTTCCTTCGCCACTTGGGGCGGCAAAAAAGCTGGAGCCGGCCCTGCCTCCCAGGGCCCTGCCAGTAACTGAGGATATCTGGGGCCCCAGCTATACCTCCCTTCCCCAAACATACCATCTGCATCAGCAGCCAGGAGGGTGACGAACCATCCCTATGGCAGCTCTATGCTGCTCAAGGATTCCTTGGTACTGAGGGAGCCTTCAAGGAGCTGATGAAACTGGATTCAGCTGTTATGTGAGGTTGACGATCTTCCCATTAAGGTGAGTTAGTAAGATTCTGTTATAGTGCAACAAGTTGGATTCAATGGGGCCTGATTCTGAATTTACATCACCCTAATCCACATGGGGGTAGGTAAGATCAGAATCAGGCCCCAGGTGCTTTTATTCACCTTAGCATTTTTTTAAAACAATGACTTCTGTGATGCATGGAACAAATGTGGTGTTTGTTTTTTCCCCTGCACCAATCGAAAGGCTGGAATCACTATCAGCTATTCATGTGCTATAAGAGTTGAATTTCCTGTAATAGATACCTTGATCTGCTTTTGCAACTCTTACAGTTAAATGATGCATGAATAAATACTGTACCAATATCAGCTCTCAGTAATCCAAAAAGTAAGCATCAGTCTACAGACTAAACACATTGCCCAATCTGAATTGAAAACTTACCTTGTAAGTATGCGTAGCTCCAGGATCAATCCGAAAAGCTTTTGTAAGTGGATTTGAGTTTATTATTAAAGGATATCCTGAAGCCACTTCAGAAGGTGATGGTGATAAAATAACACTAAACGTATAAACCAAAACACGAGCTGAAGAATTTTCTGTCACATTGCCTGTAGCAGGCAAGCCATTAAGTGACAGCGTTTTCCCCCCTGCAAATTTGAAAAGGAAAGTAAAATTACACTTCTGTGAAGCCGTCTCTGTGAATGTTAGCTGGGACACAGAGCACACACCTTCTGCCATGTGCTGTGAACACAAATGACCTGATATTCCTCTCATGCTGATATGAATTGTGATGTTACGCAGCTGTCGAACCCATGCAAGTGAAAGGAGATTCAAACCAATTTATTTTCTGTTTAAATGCTGTGGTCCTGCCACTGCAAGTTACTGATGTTAATGCAGTATTGTTACTACATTGCTTGTATTCGTATGATAGCTAGAAATATATGTTTCCTATCAGTCACCACCTTCTGCTGCTGCCTCTCTGCACTGAATCACATTAAAAATAAAGTCAGACAAGCAAGTGTGTGTGACTAAAAGGTGTTTAGAATTCTTTTGTGAATTCTGTTCTCAAGAGATGACACTTCCCTTCCCTTTCCAACATGTCTTGTCATAAATTAACAGAAAAGAAGGCAGGTCTTCAAGGTGCTGAGCAGCTCCAGAAAAGTTCAATGTAATCTCAACCCCCCAGTGTAGTTAGCCCCTTGCAAGATACTGCTAATGCATTGCAATCCATTCAGGGCCAGGACCTGGGCCAACATTTAAAAAAAAAAAAGTGTCTGTGATGTCATGCACCAGGTCAAGATGCCATTCACTCAGATTTTTTCGGGGAGAGGGAACGGGACACAGGGGCTTCTGGGCCAGGGGGATCAGCCTGCTGGTGGCAGTTGAGGGCATCTAAGAGGGGAAGAGGAGGCTCGGGTGGGGGGAGGAAGAGGAAATTTATGACTCCCCCCACTTTAAATAGTGCTCTGCAGCCCCTGAGTGAGTGTGTTTCAAGTCCCACTCTCTTCCCAATCCTCAGAGAATGTGACTCAATTGCAGCTCTTGGCTTGAGAATCTGGATCAAGCTGTGAGGCTCCTGCTTTTAGCTCTGGAGGTCCCTTGTTCGTGCCTTGGTGTTGGCCAAGATAGAGGCTGTCACAAGGGCCAGTGCAAAATGTCTGGAATGCTTGGAACTAGCAGAGAACAGTGATTTGAAAGAGCCCCATGTGAGTCCCTTGTTAAAGGAGCCAGGCTCTGGGCTCTCTAGGGATGTGTGCTTACAGCTGGGGTGCTTTTGTAACATATGTTCTAATACAGAATCTGACACTGACTGTATCTGAGACAGTACACTTCCTTTAAGCACGCCACAACTTATTAAGGAAAAGTATTTTTAAAGTCAGTGAAGATAAATGTATTTATAATGTTTTCTAGAGTGACAGATGAGAGATGGGTTCCTACATTTATATTAACCTCTTACAGTTTTCATGAGCTGAATAAGAAATGTTTATTCAGGCATAATTCTTTTAAATCAGGGTTAATTAGATTTTTCAGACCACATTGCAACAGAGTGTGACAGGTTACTCTCTTCTTATTCATGATCCTACTCCCTCCTCATTCAGAAACCAATGAACCACCTGCTTTCCCATTTAGGAGCACAAAACATCCCTCTGACAATTACAGCAATTGCCCATCGAGAATAGTAGTATTAGGAAAGAATTTAATATATTATTAGCATTGCCAACCCCAAACATTGAGTTTGGGCCCACAAAAAAATCACAAGACTAACTTAAAAATTATGAATTTCTTTTATATATATATATATATATGTTGAGATCTCTTGCTTTGCCTTCTGATTTCTGAGCCTTTACGGTACACTCAAATTTTACTCTCTTGAAAGCTGAGATCCTCATGCAATCTACAGAGTAAAGCAGTTGGGACTTACAGGGGGAAAATATCATGAGACTTGTGAGAGTTGGCAACACTGTTTTTAAAACAATTTAGTGACTAGAAAAAAGGAGGAGAGCCAGCAATGTGTGACCAGCCAGCTCTCTGCAAGCACCAGCAAGTGCTTAATGGTCCACGGAAAACAGTTTAAGAAACTTCTGCAGTAAGCAATCCATTCTTCTTTGCTGCTTGTTAGAAGGTCTATTCTTTGTGTATCTGTAATGCTTTCATGCTGAACCCAAATACTGATATTGCCAAGCTAACATGCCATGGTCTGGGTTTTGTGGAGGAGGTTATTTGATTGGTTGCTTTTTAATTCACCAACTGTTAAAGTTACCACTAACATCAACCTAGAAAAAAAGTCTAAATTCTACTGGCCTGATTCTTATCGCTTTGCACCTGATACAGTCATTTACATCTGTGCAAAGTGGCTATAAAACACTACCAGTCTGATTTTTAGTGTAAAATGAGTGTTTAAAAAGCTACCAGATCAGAAGAGGGTATAAAACCATTTACACGAGGTTTAAGGTGGTGGAGAACTGGGCTCTATACATGTCTTTATGGCAAGGTCTTCTTAAAACTTGCTACAAGCATAGCTCAAGTTCATGTAATTTTAAAAACTCCTCCAATTTTTTTTGTTTTATTTTTTTTAAATTCAATTAACCCACAAATGAAATATGAACAAAGCCTGGAGCTGCCTAAAGTGAACTGACTTTGCTTCTTTGAAAATTCACCTGCTTCCCCTCTCCCCTCCCCCCCGAATACTCTCACCTTGAACAGTGGACGTTATTCTGGAGCGTGGCGGCATCCAGCATAATATTATTGTAATGTTATATAAATCATCACAATGGGCTGCAATCTCCTGACAATTATACTGATGCATCTCCATGGCTCACTGCAGTTCAGTAACAAAACAGCTGTTCCTTGAATTCTTTTGTCAAAAAGTTCTGATCTCAAAAATATGATTTAGGTCCCTTAAGAGAAACTATAACAGGCAAGAATGGATTAAATTTAGCAGTTGAATAAAATTGTGTTCTTACCAGATATTCTTCCTAATAAAACCAAAAGAAGAAAAATATTCTGCCTTTTCCCTAGAATCCTGCCATCCATAGTCCTAGGATGTGAACTGAAGGAAGATCTGGGTCTTATTTGCCTCTGTCTGCTTCAGTTCCACCTAAATTTTTCTTCCTTGTCATGCTGTCCAGTAAGAAATCAAACAAAGGTTCTGCTGTATCTAAGGGAGTTTCTAAACACCATCAGCTTGTTTGCTCTTCAGTGGACTGCTCCTTGCTGACATACCATACAATATCCCTTAAACTGCAATCCTTTTAGAATGACAAAGAAGGTGTGTGTGGGGGGGAATAGCTAATACAATGCTGGCTTGATAATTCTGAGGAATGAGGTGCTCTCTCTCTAGAGACCAGGGACAATACTTGGTGCAGCATTGCATGTTTCCCGATGCTGACAGTGTGTTTCACACGTGTTCTGGGGTGTCAAAGTCATTTAGGACTTGTCTACACTAGAAGGGTTTTGCCACTCTAGTTATACTGGTATATCCATTCTCACAAAACCCTCTAGTGTGCACTCACTTGTATCAGTATTGCTTATGAGAGCACAGGGCTTTTTCCTTGCCTCTGTTCTGCAATGGCATGAGCAGGTCCCCCTGTCCGCCTCCCCCCGAGCTCTGTGTCATAACTTTTGTCCTTTATTTTCTCTCTTTTATAAATATATACTTGAGCCTGTTTGGTTCTTCCTTTGTCTGAATGCCCACACAGATCCTGTTGCCAACAATAGATCAGTGCTCATGTGCACAGTTACATAAATCAGACTTCTCCTCACACATCAAACCTTTCATATTCTGTGACAAAGAAAAGATAAGAGTAACCTGGTTACACATCTTTCAATGAGACAATCTAGTCTTGTGGTCAGGGCACGGTATTGAGATTTGGGAGACCTGGGTTGGAATGGAATTTGGTATTTATATCTGCTTAAAATTTTAGGGCGTTCCCTCAGGCACAGCAGTGGATTAATGTCTCCTGGGGCCCTGGGCCAGAGCAACTGGGGAGGCCCTGGCACCAGAACCATGGTCCCCTCCCACCCTTCCACTTGCTGTCCTGCCCCTGTCCCACCCCTTCTGCCTGCGGCCCCACCCAAAGCCACACCCCATTCTGCCCCTTCCCCTGCAGCCTCACCCGCATTCGTCCCAAAGCCCCGTCCCATTCCGCTCCTTCCCCCACAGTCCCACCCCCGCTCGCTCCTTTCCACCAGTACACCACTGCAGCCCCAAGACCAGAGAAGCTCTGTGCCCCTGACGTTGCCCTGGGGCCATGGCGAGGAGTGAGAGCTCCTCCAGCCCTGGGGCCATGGCAAGGGGAGATTTTTTCCCAAGGGCCCCAAATTGACCAGGGCCCTTAGGCACGGGCACTGTAGGCCCATGCGGTAATCTGCTACTGCTCAGATAGGCCTCTCCTCAGTGCAAAAGCCTATTATTTGAATGCTTTGTGAAAAACAAACCCTTGGGTGGTTGGTATTTGTTTGCTCTTTCAATATGTTTCCAGGGTTGTCATTTTGTCACTGACAAGCCTCCTGGGACAAGTGTGTTTGAGCAGAGAACGTGAGTGTGTAGAGGGAGATAGTTTAGTGAGCAGGGAAAGGAAAGGAGTGCAAGTACTGGGCACAGTGTGGGACTGTGTGCAGAGAGGCGAGCGATGGATGGACAAAAGAAGAAGTCAAACAGGAGGAACATATGCAGGAGGAAATGAGTGAAGGGGATGAAAGGAGGAGGTGTTGCCTTATATATCAAAAATGTATACACTAGATTGAGGTTGAGATGGAAATAGGAGACAGACTTGTTGAAAGTCTCTGGGTAAGGATAAAAGGGGCAAAAACAAGGGTGATGTCATGGTAGGGGTCTACTACAGACCACCTATCAGGAAGAAGTGGTGGATGAGGCTTTTTATGAAAAACTAAAAATATCCAAAGCATGGGACTTGGTGGTTATGGAGGACCTCAACTACCCAGACATCTGTTGGGAAAATAACACAGCAGGGCTCAGATTATCCAATAAGTCCTTGGAATGTATTGGAGATAAATATTTATTTCAGAAGGTGGAGAAAGCTACTAGGGGAGAGGCTGTTCTAGATTTGATTTTACAAATAGGGAGGAACTGGTTGAGAATTTGAAAGTGGAAGGCAGTTTGGGTGAAAGTGATCATGAAATAATAGAGTTCATGATTCTAAGGAATGATAGAGGGAAAACAGCACAATAAAGATAATGGATTTCAAGAAAGCAGACTTTAGAAAACTCAGGGAGTTGGTAGGTAAGATCCCATGGGAAGCAAATCTAAGGGGAAAAGCAGTTCAAAAGAGTTGGCAGTTTTTCAAAGAGACATTATTAAGGGCACAAAAGCAAACTATCCTACTGCACAGGAAAGATAGGGAGTATGGCAAGAAACCACCCTGGCTTAACCAGGAGATCTTCAATGATCTGAAACTCAAAAAAGAGTCCTACAAAAAAGGGAAAATAGGTCAAATTACAAAGAATTAATATAAACAAATAACCCAAGTATATAGGGACAAAATTAGAAAGGCCAAGGCACAAAATGAGATTAAACTAGCTAGAGACATAAAGGGTAACAAGAAAACATTCTACAAATACATTAGAAGCAAGAGGAATACCAAGGACAGGGAGATTGTGTGCTGGCTGCTGGGGAAGTCTCTGAGAGACCGTGCGCTGTCTCTTTAAGGCACTCACTCACCTGAAGGCTTGTTCAGACCTCACCTCAGAACTGCTGCGAGTCCTGAGTCCTGTCCCCTCTACCCTGCTCTGTGGAGATGGAGTACAAGAGAGGGGCACACCCTGACATCAGCACCCTCCTTCCTCCCACCCCACCCCCACAGCCAGCAGGAGGGTCCTGGAGCAGCTACAGGAGCAACATGGCTGCAAAACATCAGGGGCAGTCAGGAGGGGCACCTAAACACACGCTGCCAGCTGCGTGTGCATGGCTCTGATAATCAACTGCACAGCACTTGAATCTCTGCTGGGCGGCCACCCAACTGCGCAGCTTACAGGGAACACAGCTCACTAGTGGTGAGTCAAGCAAGACAAATACCTCCCATGTCTTACATACAACATTCCTGTTAATACACCCCAGAACACTAGCCTTTTTTGAAGCTGCATTACATAGTTGACTCGTATGCCATTTTTGATCCACTATAACTCCCACATCCTTTTCAGCAATCCTACCACCTAGACACGTATTCCCCTTTTTGTAGTTGTGCATTTAATTTTTCCTTCCTAAGGGAAGTACTTTGCACTTGTCTTTATTGAATTTCATCCTGCTGCTCTTCAGGCATTGCAGTGACACTCTCTGAGTCAGTTTACTTTTCTGTTTCTAAGACTACCCTAGGGAAGAGGACATTTTGTACTTGCTGTGATAATTGTCCGTTGAAATTTAGGTAGCCACTGCTCCTAAATAAGTGAGAGACTTTTGCAAACTTGATTCATAGCCATCAGGGAATATTTATTAATGTTATTACAATGACAGTTTTGGTAACTTACTTAATCAGTTTTTATCTTCATCTCCCTCCTCTTAAAAACTGTAATAGTTTTCTATTAGCTGCCTTGATAATTTTTTTCCTAAAACATTAAAACAGTACTCTGACAGCCAGCACCAAGAGCTCACACAAAATTTTCATTTGATTCTCATCTAGCTGAAAATTTCTCCTTGTATCTGCTCTAAATAATATGTAAATTAAGATTGTGTCTCACATAGTGTGTCTGATGTCAATGAAATCTAACTAGGTGTTTCATATGAATCCAAATAAATATAGATACAGCTGGCTTCATTCCTTTCATATGAAAAAGAGAGAGAGCGCTGCATAAAGGATTTCAAAATGATTCTGCATCCCTTCTTTTCCTCCTGCTTCATCCTCCCCCTGCATCCCCTCTTACAATTTTAATTAAAAGTATGGACTGGTTGTATTGATTTTATTATGTGGAAGGGAACAGCCCAACCAAACGGGTTCCCAAGGGTGCTGTGTGATGGAGTGTATAGACCCCACACAGATGAGGGAGGTGCCAGAGTGCCCCTGAAGATAGGGATAGCCCTCCATATCTCCGGTCCTGTCAATCATTCATGATAGGGAGGAGGCCTTTAAAAGGGAAGAAATCCTGTGAGGTGGGGGAGGAGTCAGATTGCCCTAAGCAGCAGACTTCAGGAATGACTCCTGAAACTGCAGCAGGAACGCCTAGCCGGGAGACCTTGATCCCGCCCCTGAGGGGCATACAATGGACTCCCAGGGTAAGGCAAACTGGCTGAGCCTGACTCAGAAGCCCAGCCAGAGCAATTTCCACAAAACCCACTACATTGGTGCTGGATCGGTGGCAGCACTGTAGACTCACAGCCATTCAGAGAGGTCAAGTGACTCACCCAAGGCCACACAGCAAGTCAGCAGCATAGCTGGAGCTCTTAGCTCCCAGCCCCAAGCTCACACCGGGAAAAATGCTCCTTGTAAAACACCATGCATGTCAGGGGCACATCACTGAGAAATATGTTTCAGGAGGAATTTCTGTGCTGGTTTCAGATTTTTTTTTAACTGTTTTAATGAAACATAAATTTCAAAATCAATCCACCTTAACTAGAACAGATGTGGCAACAATGACTTAGTGAGTTGTGGCTCCTGATCTTCAAAAAGTATATAAAGATTTTTTAAAAGATACAGATCCTGTAGTGCACAATAAAATATTTGACCATACACTGTGCGTTCAGCATCTATATGGAATTCCCACTGATGACCATATCAGTCATGAGTGTGACTTGATATGTGACTGTTTGATTTGTCTTAAAATCTAAAGGCAACAAAAGGCCTGGTCCAAAACACACTGAAGTCAATTGAAGTCTTTCCAATAAATCCAGTGGCCATTAAATCAGGGTTAAATTGGAAAGAGTCCAGCAGAGGGCAACAAAAATGATTAGGGGGCTGGAGCACATGACTTATGAGGAGAGGCTGAGGGAACTGAGATTATTTAGTCCGTAGAGAAGAGAAGAATGAGGGGGGATTTGATAGCTGCTTTCAACTACCTGAAAGGGGTTCCAAAGAGGATGGATCTAGACTGTTCTCAGTAGTACCAGGTGACAGAACAAGGAGTAATGGTCTCAGTGGGGGAGGTTTAGGTAGTGTGACAGACCCAGACCAGTGGGGTACAGGAGTCTGGTAGAGGGCAAATATACTGGTCACTGGATGAGTAGTTTTCTGTTCCCTGAGTGACCAGAGCAAGGGCTGCACTAGAGTAATAAGGAACCTGCTAGAACCAGTTAAGGCAGGCAGGCTAATTAGGACACCTGGGTTTTAAAAAGGAGCTCACTTCAGTTTGTGGTGGGAGTGTGAGGAGCTGGGAGCAAGAGGCGTAAGGGGCTGAGAGGGAGAGGCTGTGCTGCTGGAGGACTGAGGAGCACAAGCGTTATCAGACACTAGGAGGAAGGTCCTGTGGTGAGAATAAGGAAGGTGTTTGGAGGAGGCCATGGGGAAGTAGCCCAGGGAGTTGTAGCTGTCATGCAGCTGTTACAGGAGGCACTATAGACAGCTGCAGTCCACAGGGCCCTGGGCTGGAACCCAGAGTAGAGGGCGGGCCCGTGTTCCCCCCCAAACCTCCCAATTGACCTGGACTGTGGGTTCTCCCAGAGGGGAAGATCTCTGGGCTGTTCCCCAACCCACATGGTGAATCTCTGAGGCAAGAAAATTCGCTAATTCTAAATCCATGTGGCAATCCTCTGTACGTCATGCTACAGCACTTGCTGCATATTACTAGTTTATTTATTGCTATAATTGTTTAGCCTCCTGAGCTGATAAGATTTGT